TGGGTAATGGGAAGAGAATTAGCTTTTGATTGAACCCATGGCTCGGAGAGGAGACCCCCAATGATAGATTCCCACAGATTTTTGTGATTGCAATGTGTGAGAATATTAAACAAAATGAAGCATTTAAAGAATTTGGGGGTGGGAGGGAATGGCATGTGGAAGTTTTAAGGAATCTTAATGATTGGAAAGTTTGTGATTATGCATCACTGTTGGGATCACTGTCTTATGTTTCTTTGGATGAGAGAGCCGGTCAAACAATTTGGACCCACAACCCAAATAGGTCTTTTTCGATTGAATCATTCTATAAGTATTTGGTGAAGAATGATGCTGTAAAGGACAAGTTCCCATTCAAGCATATATGGGAAGTGAACGCTCCCCTAGAATTGCTTTCTTTGCTTGGGAAGCAATGTGTGAAAGTTTTCTGGCCATTAATAAGTTGATAAGAAGGGGAAAATTTTTGGACAATGGGTGCTACCTTTGTAAGAGGGCAGAGGAGACTCACGGCCATATTTTACCTGTGTCCTTTAACGTTTAAGTTATGTAGTATGGCGTATGGGATTTTGGGTGTCAGCTGGGCAAGGGCAGGAAGTGTAAGGGATGAGATATAGGCATGGAAGGGGCTGAGTAGTAGGAAAAAACATTTGGAGCTTATTCATTTCACGATTTTTTGTGGTGTGGAAAGAAAGGAACAAAAGAACTTTTGAGGAGGTGGAAGAGGAGTTGGTAGGGTCAGGGATAGATGGCACCAAATCTTGGGTTGTTTGGTTACTGGTAACTTTTTGTATTCTATGGAAGATTTTAGTAACCTCATTGAAGTTCTAATGAATGTGTAAATATTTTTTGTACACGAGTTGATACCCACTTGGTGCCTGTAATTAATGAATACACATTATATTTTTTATTTAAAAAAAAACACTAGCAATCAAAAACATGGAGGTGTATCTAAGATGGGTTCTTCTGGCACAACTTGGTCTAAAGACTTTATTAGATATTAGCCAAAGATGCAACTTGTTAACGATGTGAACTACAAGACACTGTCAAATATGTGATTTTGAGCTCCATATAAAAGCTCAAATCACATACTATCAATAACTTTAAGTTTGAGTTTCTAGAAGCAGGTATTTTGAGTCTAAAAAAGTTACTGGACAATAGGGCTTGAGCCTAGGACATCATAAACTGTATCAGAGCACATGTCAGCTTTGTGACTCTAAACTGATACAATCTTAATTTTTGTGGGTCTTTGCATTGTGATGTGTGGTAAAAATTATGATATTCCAATTTCACATCGAAAAATATTTGATTCACATACTACTATTAACTTGACTTGAACTTTTGAAAGATAGTAGTTTGGGTCCAAAAAATTAGATTACTAGTACTTAGGTTCAAGGTGTTACAGCTTCTAACCAAAAAATGGCAAATATAGATGGTTGAATCAACATCTTATAGGCCACGATTATCTTCTAATGGGTTTTTAGTTTTCAAGGGATTGGACTACAGAAGTTTGTTTGATCCCTTGCTTTTGTTTTTGATGCTGTAGGAATATTTTTTTTTACTACCTTCATAAAGAAGATTTTTTTTAGCTGCTTGAAATTGCTAAAAGAAATGTGTTCGAAGTAAATATTTTAAATTACTTAAAGCACCTAAGTACTGATTTAAAAAGATTAGAAATGAAAGACAGTAAATAACTGGAAGTATTAAGAAAATATAGATCAATACCAAAAAGAAAATGTTAAGAGGAAGGTGCTTGATTATTGCTCAAAGCTGCTTATTAGCATGAAGCACTCTACTTATTACATCACTAAACACATAGATTCAAATTGACTGCTTAAAACTACTTATCAACACCCAATGTAGTGAATCTAACATCCTCTTACTATGTTTATCTTTGTATCATGGTTGTTATGGTGATTGTTTCACTTTATTTATAACAGTGTTCAAAATTATAATTTATTTATTTATTTTAATTTACAGTTTTCACACCTATGACTATGCAAGGCATTTTGTGAGTGCTTGTACTCGTATTCTTGGACTTGAGGGAACACCCGAGGGAGTAGAGGATCAAGGGAGGCTGACTCGTGTGGCTGCAGTATGTTTGGATTGAATTATATATATATGTATATATATATATAAAGAAGTGTTATTTGAGAGAGAAAAAAGGAAAATACATCAGCAGTTGGACTGAGAACTTTTTTCAGTTTCCCCTGCCTTCATAAACTCTAGATAACTTCTTACTCCTGGACTGCATCGGGCGTGTTAAGTATCATGATCTAACCGCATATTTTTGTTATTTTTTTTATTTGAATTTCAGTTTCCCATTGGCATAGACTCAGATCGGTTCATACGAGCACTTGAAGTTCGTGAGGTCCAGGAACACATCAAAGATTTAAAAGAAAGATTTTCTGGCCGAAAGGTATGAAGTATATTTTGTTTATGGATTTTATTATGTTTGTTACAATAAATCACCTTTCCTCAAGCAAAAGAGATAAATAAATAAAAGAGCTTCTTGCTTGCAAGAAGGATACCCTTAACCTGAAACCTAAGATAATGGTTATTACTTTTATTTTGCTCTCTCTTATGTGCTTACTAGAGTTGTTTGGTCTTAGGTCATGACATTAATGGGGTTGATGATTTTGGAAATGTCATCGACCATTTGATTGACATGTAAATTATTTTTGTATACGGGTGGTACTTTCTTGGTACCGATGTTAATATTAATACTACACCACTTTTATTTATAAAAAAAAAGAGGTTTATTAGAGTTGTTTGCTTGACAGGTAATGTTAGGTGTTGATCGCCTTGATATGATTAAAGGGATTCCCCAAAAGCTTCTGGCATTTGAAAAATTTCTTGAAGAAAATCCACAATGGCGCGACAAAGTTGTTTTGTTGCAAATTGCAGTTCCTACAAGAACAGATGTCCCTGAATGTATGCTTTTCCCACAGCTGTCTTTCCTGAGTTATCTTTTGGCTTAACATATTTGTCAGGTGTAGTCTATGATGATTTGTGGAGCTTGTTTTCTTTGCATGAGATGGAAGATCCTAATTATCTAAGTTGCTATTTCTCTTTGATAATAAAAATTTTGGATTCTGTATGTTCACATATTTTTTTATACCTACGCACAGATCAAAAACTTACAAGCCAGGTTCATGAAATTGTTGGACGCATTAATGGCCGATTTGGAACATTGACTGCTGTTCCAATACATCATCTGGTCTGTCTTTAACCTAAGGCATTAATCATTAATCCTTCTAATTCTTGATTGTCTTAAATTTCAAGCTCTATTAATAATGCTGCAATTTCTCTTTCATTCTCTGCAGGATCGTTCATTGGACTTTCATGCATTGTGTGCATTATATGCTGTTACTGGTATGTATTTGAAGGGTCTAAGTTTTGCTGTTATGATTTTTTTTTTCTTCAGTTACTAATGATTTCCTTTATGCCGCATTGATTAATTTGTCCATGCAAACTATGATATTTATCTTACTAATTGATTTGTCGGTATAGTTGGGAACTTGGGATATCCAATTTTCTACTGCCTAGGGTGTGCAGACACCTAATTCCTAGTCCTAGGCTACTAGTCTAAGACCAATACACATGGCACTTGTGCACAAGAAAATGTCTGTAATCTTGCTTAATGCTACCATTTAGCATGGCTATTCAAGATTTTGGTTCCCAGTGCTATTAATTTTCTATATTATGGGTCTTTTTGAAAAAAAAAAATCTCTGTTATGGGAAATTTTCAAAATAAACTCCCAAATACTAAAGAAATGTTACAAATTTGGCAAGGAAACAAATTATCAATGAGATTCCTTAAATCTTCATCATGCAAAAGTATTATGGTACTTTCCAGATCATTAACCACAAAGATCTGTCTAGATCATTCATTGGAGTTCCAATCCATTGTGTGGGAAGTTAAATTCTATAGTTCTATTAAGACTTGTCCTATCAACAATTTCTAGTGTGGATGTTTGAGCATTTGAACTACTTTTATTTGTCATTGAAGATGCTAAAGTTCAGATTCCCGACTTTAGTTTATCCTTTTAGGAGCTGCAATTGATTGTTGAGAATCTCAGCAGCTTTCATACTATTTATTAGCCCATGTTACAACATGATCACATGCATAGATCTAGTATTCTCTTAAAATCTAAACTTCATTTGTGAAACATTACTGTTTATATTTATTCTCGTATTAGAAAATGGATCTGATGCAATTCCTTTTCCTTTATCTTTTCAGATATAGCACTTGTGACATCTTTGAGGGATGGGATGAATCTTGTCAGTTATGAGTTTGTTGCATGCCAAGGTGCAAAAAAAGGAGTTCTGATTCTCAGTGAAGTAATTACTGAATACCAAAAGCTCTGGTTGTGCGTGATTTTGTTTTCCTCCATGGCAATAGAAGGGGGTTTTATCTTTTGTCTTTGTCGATTAAATTGATGGATTGATGGTTATCTTATTGGAATACGTTTGTTCTTCCAAGTCAATTTAGTAGGATTGTTCATATTCCTAAGTTTCCACTTGTCGCATCATAAATCGATATATTCTATAGTTTGCAGGTGCAGCACAGTCACTGGGTGCTGGGGCCATCCTGGTAAATCCTTGGAACATCACAGAAGTGGCTGCTTCAATTGGTCAGGCACTGACCATGTCGGCTCAAGAAAGAGAGAAGCGGCATGAGCATAATTTTTTACATGTCACAACTCACACTGCTCAAGAATGGGCAGAAACTTTTGTAAGGTAGACATTAAATTTTGTCCTGATCCACCTTTATGGTGGAAACAAGAGATCTTTTACAGTTCCATGCATTTTTATTATGTATTGTACAGTATGTTCATTTTGATATTTACTTGAAAAATATGCTCCAGAACTCCCTAGAGCACTTAGATATTTAATGTAACCATGAAACACATTGTTATGCGAGCATATTCAATCAATACTTATAGTTTTTAGTTGATAGAAAGCTTAATAGTTCCCAAGCAGAGAATTTGACTATCCTTATTAAAATTTCAAGAAAAATGAGGGACCACGGGGTTTAAATTTCTTTTGTTTGTCAAATCCTTGAAGAAGCAGGTATAAATGATTCAAGTTTTAAAACATTTTATAGTTATTTTCTTTTGACTTAAACTTTGGGAATAGTTAGGTAATCAAATTATTTGACACAGTATTAGAGCTTTAGGTCCGATACTCAAACTTCGGAGTCTCTCTTATCATTCTCCTTTTTGTTGCCGATAATTGGTTCCTGTGCAGTGTGTCTGTTGATCTATGACTTGATGTGTTCATAGCTTAATGTCGACTTAAATGTTTGTAATTAATTGATCATCCAACCAAATTATTTAGCAAAATTAAAAATCTGATATTTTTAACAAACTGATGATTAAAAAGATTGATAGTCTGATGAAAATAAAGGACCAACAGCATCTGTTTAACTCGTTGCATTGGTCTTTTCAAAGTTTATTTTGGTTCCATAATGGATAGTTTGTTGCTAATGATCAGTTGTGTGTCCTTACGGATTCAAATATTGTTTTCAATGAAACAAGAACAACTGTGATGTGAAATATGATTAGTTCTTCGATTCTAAATTTGCTTCTCCAGTGCGGGTTAAAACTTTATTATTTAAGAAAAGTTACTGCTTATCTTTGAAATTTGTCCTTCCTATATCTTGTTGTAGTGAATTAAATGATACTGTGGTCGAGGCACAGCAAAGGTCGAGCAAAGTCCCACCTGAGCTTCCACAACTGGATGCAATTGAACGATATTTGCAGTCTAACAATCGCCTGCTGATATTGGTATTGCCCATGGGACCTAAAATCATGTTTTTCTGGTTGAATTCAATAAACATATAATTATCCCTTGTTTATAAAGCAATAATTGTTTTCTCTATCTTTTTGCTGGAGTTGTATGGTTACACCATTGACATTGTTTAGCTCAAATTTTTTCTCCTATTTTGGTTGAGGGCCTTTCAAAATTTGAGCTTGAAATGCAATAAACATTATGATTATGCTGAATTAATAGGTTTCAATATGTACAACTTCGGTTGCCTTCTAAGTTTCATGTTTGTTCAGCTTATTTTGTGGGTCCTCCAAAACTCATCAGCTTATTTTTTGGCTCCTCCAAAACTCAGGGGTTCAATGCAACATTAACTGAACCAGTAGATACACCTGGGAGAAGAGGTGATCAAATTAAAGAGATGGACCTCAAATTGCATCCGGAGTTAAAAGGACCCTTAACAGCACTCTGCAGTGATCCAAAGACAACCATAGTTGTCCTCAGTGGCAGCCACAGACATGTCTTAGATGATGTATTCCCCGGCTCTCTTTCTCCCTTTTTTCCATTTTCTTGCATTGGTATAACCAAATTCAAACTAATTATTTCTGCAGAATTTTCGGGAGTATGACATGTGGCTGGCAGCTGAAAATGGGATGTTTTTACGACTTACAAAGGGAGACTGGATGACAACAATGCCGGAGCACTTGAACATGGAGTGGGTTGACAGTGTAAAGGTGCAAATTGGAATTGAACTTTATTCCTTCTGTGTTTCAGTCTCTAGGACAATTATTTTGATGGTTTGATTTTATGTTTGAAGCATGTTTTTGAGTACTTCAAAGAGAGGACACCTCGATCCCACTTTGATGTACGCGAAACATCACTTGTATGGAACTACAAATATGCAGGTGAACTTTTTTTGTGCTTGCTTCTCCAATCCTTTTTTGTCTGCCCTTTCTGCATATTCATGCTCATCTTTTTATGGTCATAGATGTTGAATTTGGACGGCTTCAAGCACGAGATATGTTGCAGCATCTCTGGACTGGACCAATCTCTAATGCATCGGTTGATGTTGTTCAAGGAAGCAGATCTGTTGAGGTGCGAGCAGTGGGTGTTACAAAGGTAATGACTTTCTCTTCA